AGCCTCAGAAACCTTATATAGGGTCACTGAGTTGGAACAGATTTGATGGCACAAGGTTTGGTTTGACTTCTTGTTGTTAAGTGCCATCAAACCCCATACAGGATTTCTGAGGAGCGGCTGGGGGTTTTGGTTAGGTTTGGTTTCTGTGTATTGTGAGGATGGCACTGTACCAGGCAGTGTTTTGTTCTTTTGTACATCAGGTTGCTATGAGTCAGAGTCAACTCAGCGTCACCTAACAACAATGACAACATACATACTGAGCTCTTCTTCTGTGCTGGGAGCTGTTGAGGGATTAGCAATGTGTGAGTCCCAAGCCTTTACCCTTAGTATCTCTCAGTTTGGGGAAAAGAGACGAGGAGGTGGAAATTAAAAGTGGGCTGGATAGATTGAGCGATGGAGAAAAGCCCAATTATACTTTTTAACTGGGCCCTGTGAGAATAAATCGCCCAAAGGGATATGTGGGGAAGAAGATGGGTAAGTGAAAGAGGCTGAGAGGTGGGGTGATCAAAACTGTACAGATGAATGTTCTAGGCTCAAATTTCAATGCTATCACTTAGCAGCTAAGGGGATTTTCAGGACGGTTTTCAGGAAAGCAGGCATATGCTTAATTCTTGTTGTTGTTAAGAGCCATTGAGTTAGTTCTGACCCATAGCGACCCTGTATAGGGTTTCTGAGGAGTGGCTGGTGAGCTTGAATTCCTGACTTTGTGGTTCAAACAGACTTTGCAGTCTAGCACATTAACCCACAATGCCACAGCAGGATTCTCAATAAACAGTAGCTATCATTTTAAACAACAGGACAAAGAATTTGTTGTTATTGTAAGTTACCATCAAGTCGGTTCCAACTCATAGTGACCCTATGCACAGCAGAACGAAACACTGCCCAGTCCTACGCAATCTTCACAACTGTTGTCACACTTGAGCTCATTGCTGCTACCACTGTGCCAGTCCATCTTGTTGGGGATCTTCGTGATTTTCACTGACCCTCCTCTTTACCTAGCATGAAACCCTTCTCCAGGGACTGGACCCTCCTGATACCATATCTGAAGTCTGTGAGACGAATTCTCAGCGTTCTGGCTTCTAAGGAGCATTCTGGTTGTACAAATAGATCAGAACTCTTCCTACCTTTATTTTTACTACTTATTTTATGCTTTCTATTATGGAAACTTTTAACTGTAACAAGAGTAGACAGAATAGCATAATGAATCCTCATGTAGCCATCACCCAGCTTCAACTCAGGGTCAAGCTCATTTCATTTGGGGCTCTGTCCCTTTCCCCTGCCCATATGATTTAAAGCAATTCCTGTACATCGTATCATTTCAGCCATAAAAGTTTCTCTCTAAAAGAGATCACCTTTACCTTTGAACAGATGGCAATTGCTGTGCAGAACACCACTGCAACTAGCCGCTACCTGCGAGTTCTCCCACCTTCTACTCCATACTTTGCTCTTGGATTAGGTGAGTTCAGAGTAGCGGTTGTCGATTGTCTAAACTGTATCAACATTATTTGTTGGGTTCCCTCCTATTTATTACCTTGCCTGGCTGTTCTTTATCTATCTTCAGCTCAGGCCCGCACTTCCCTAGACAGCCACTAGGGGCTCCTTCACACTCACCCAGAAGTCAACCTGCTTGCCCTTCTAGTGAGGCCTGGGTAACCCTCTTTGGCATCTGAACTGTGAGCCTCAGTTTTGACAGCTCCTTTCTCCCAGTACCTCCATGCAGGCACTGGTTTTACCAGTTATGCCTCTGTGTGGGTCACTCTTCACCCTTCACGTTGTCACTACCCTTAGCCAGGCCCTCCTCCTTCCTCACTTAAACCACTGAAGTAGCTTCCCAGCCTGCTTTCCTACTTCAGTGCCACATGAACAAATGTCTTCTCAAGAATAACTCTGGGCATGTCACCCCTGCTCATAAATCTCACATGACCCTCTATTACACACAAAATAAGTTCTAAGCACCCCCTAGCCATTCCAGCTCTGCCGTCTCTACTTGGATTCCCCCAGCACAGCCCAGTGATTCTGCTATTGGCATGGCCTTGGTCCAGAGGCATTTACTCATAAAGTAGGCCGCACTAGTAGGCCCCTTCTGATTGCCCTGTTCTGAGGCTGAACCAAAGTCTGGTGACTGGATGGCCGATCTCCAGATCCTCATTTATTGTCTTTGTCATGACAGGAATGTTTCCTGGCAAAGGCGGCATGGTGGCTCCTGGGATGACCTGCCAGTACATTGTCCAGTTTTTCCCCGACTGCCTTGGTGATTTTGATGATTTTATTTTAGTAGAGACCCAGTCAGCCCACACCCTCCTGATCCCTCTGCAGGCCCGGAGGCCACCTCCAGTGCTGACATGTGAGTGTGCGTTCAGGGCTTGGAGAGTCTCTAAAGAACTGCCTTCTACTCTGTCTCATCTTGTAACAGCATCACAGCTTGGTCCTCTTGGGGTAGGAGCTTCTGAGGCCTGACAGGGACCCTGCTGGCAGCTGCCACACAGTCTTCCACAATATTAGGTGTTGATTGTCCTCCTTGCCCTTGATCTTTCCCAGTGGAGGTTAACTTTGAATGACACATTGCAGGGGAGGAGGCCAGCAGCTTGGCTAATCCCAACATGACTCCGCTGGTTTGAGAACCTCCCCTGTGTGGACCTGTGCCACACTATAAGACAAGGAAGGAGGACCTGGGAACCCTGAGAAGCCCCCCCCCCCACATCCCCCATTGTTACCTCTGTGGCTGGATGGCTGGACTTCCTTTGGGTTTGACTGGACTTCTGCACTTGTGAGCTTTTTCAGCTGTGCAGAGGCTAGAAGTCGGGACTTTGACTCCCTACTTCTGTCACAACCCCTAGGGCCATGCTGGGTGACCCTGAATGAAGCATGAGTCTACAGCTGACTCCTGCTTCTCTAGCCTGGAGTGAATAGAGTCCCATGGTGCTGCTTCCACATGGCCCCACCACTGTCAGGGCTGAGCCCAAGTTACTTCCGGGGTCAGAGCATATCCCATCATCCTCTCTGCTTGGGGTACTGTGTAGGATTCCCTGGCTCCCTGGCTCAGGAGAACAGCAACAGCAGGGCTTTTCCAACTGACATATTGTTTCTCTTGCGCATCTTTTCCTGCATCTGCAGTGCCCCCAGTGCTGGACTGTGGTTACTGCCTCATTGGGGGCATCAAGATAACCAGATTCATCTGCAGAAATGTGGGCTTCAGTGTTGGCAAGTTCTGCATTATGCCCAAAAAGAGCTGGCCACCGCCAAGTTTCAGGGTGAGTGATTCCAGATTGTTCTCTGGGAAAGAGCAATTCATCAAAGGAAACAGCCCCCTGTGAGGGCCTCACTAGAATATGCTTCTGATGGGAAATACCAGAAAACAGGATTTAACCATCTCAACCCAACTGCCTCAGTCCACACAAGAGTGAAGACATTTGGAGATTAGGTCGGTAGTTGTGGTTGTTGTTGTTGTTGTTAAGTGCCGTCAAGTCAGTTCTGACCCATAGCGACCCCAAACAGGTTTCCGAGGCTGTAAATCTTTGCAGGAGCAGAAAGCCTCATCTTTCTCCCGTGGAGCAGCTAGTAGTTTCAAACTGCTGACGCGGTTTACTGCCCGATTCGTAACCACTACACTACCAGAGCTCCTTAGTTCTGGTTATGCCACTAACATCTAGATGACCTCGGGCAAGCTGTATTGACTCTCTTCATCTTCCAGGCCTGGCTCAGTGTGCTTGCCTTCAGACCCCTGTCAGCAGCACTGTTTCATGTGTTAGAGTAGATCAGAGGTCACACACTGGCAGCTCTTTGACTGAATCCTGCTGGCCTATTTAAGTGACACTGTGGTCAAAACATCTTTCAAGCCAACATTTACAACCAGGGAGATTTCTCATAGAAATCTTTAAACAGTTGGAAGATACGCTGCGCTGGGTCAGGGTTCCTCCACAGCCCTGTTGGCTGGAGCTGGAGACAGCGCACCTGCCCTCTTCCCCCGTTTGTCTGTTCCATCATTCCCCATAACTACAGACACCGGTTCCCATTATGCTCACACCATTGCCTTTCTTATAGGAAAGAGATTTCTCTATGTCCATGTCTCCAGAGAACAAGTGGTAGATCCAGAGGACCATCTGTTCCCAGAAACATAGTCTCCCCATTTATATTATCTGCCAGGGTCCTGTGAGCATGAGTTTTTGTCCCTGGCATGCTAAGTGGCTTCTTGTGTAGGTGTGAAGTTACAGCTTTGCTCACAAGGTGGCAGCTGTCTTTTGATTGAGGAGCTTAAAAGTCAGGCGTAGGTGGAGAAGGGAGGCAGCTAATAACTGGGCATCAACAATGCAGGGTTCTGCGTAGGGGAAAGGACAGTGTCCTCTGGGAGCCTATAGAGGGGGAACTTCTCAGCCCACCTCCTCTGCAAAGTATTCTCATGCTCCTCCAACTTCATGTCTGAGCACTTGACAAAGCTATTTCTTGTACTGCCGACCAGCAGCCAAGTTTTTATGGATGCCCTGTGATTTCCTCGTGTTTAGCCTTCAGAACTTAACCGGTGCCTGATGAAGACTGAGTAAATGCAGCTGAGTAAATGAGCCTTAGTTTCTCTCTTCTATGGAGGAATCCTTAAGATCCTTCAAGTTGCGAAATGGATGTTTGGAGGGAGAAATTTGCCATTGGATTTCACAATCTCTTCCAGTTCATTGAGTAACCTTTTGCTTTTCCTTCAGGCTGTGACAACCAGTGGCTTTGTTGAGCAACCTCCCTTTGGAGTCCTGCCTTCCGTGTTTGAGCTGGCCCCAGGACAGGCCATATTAATGGAGGTAGGTAATTAGACGTTGGTGTATATTTTCTTCTTCTTAATGATGAGTCACAGCTGTTCCTTCAATTGCTCACATGATTTCACTTACCTCTGTGATTTTATGACCCAAATGCCCATCATAAGCTACCCTAACCTCCGAAGTATCTGGGAAAGTGCACGTTCTTACAGTCTGTGGAGTGATGTCATTTGATGGTCTTAGGACCTCCCTCACAAAGCACATGCAGAAAACATTTCCATCTTGGTCTCTGAGCCTCACTGGGCCAGCCACTTCCAGTGACATCATAGTGCCCCTGAGGTCTTTCCTGGATCCTTCAGGCTTTCTTGGACTCTTCTTTCCCCTGCCCTACCACCCGGGAGACGAGAGTGATCTCGCTCTGCGCTTTCCCTTTGGAAACTCAGTTTATGTGATCTCTGAGGCCTGCCGTCCCTACGCCTTATGGTAGAGGTTCTGACTTCCTGGCCATGAGCTTCTCCTGTCCTGAATGTCCCCTTTCAGCATTTGCTTCTTTTGTCACACCTGCTGACAGGGCCTCGGAAGTGCCTGAGACTTGGCAGTGCCTCCCTGCACCTTCACCCTCGTCCCACTCCCTGGTCCAGGAGTCACACTTTGCTGTCATGTGACTGCACATGGGGGCTGCCCCACTTGAGCTTGGCCTTACTCACAAGTCAGTTTAGCCCTTGACATCTAGGAGTTAAAGCTGTCTGTTTTCTGGGGGTGGGTTTGGCCTGCACCATGTTGTCAGATAGTAAACTCCATGAGCCACTGATTCCCAAACTGGGCTGCCTAGTGGAATCACCTGAAAAGCTTAAAAACCCATTGATGCCTGGGTTCCCTCAGGTGATTCTGATGTGCTGCAAAGTTTGTGGTATGTTATAAAGGAGAGATTCCTGTTCCTCAGCCTTTTAGAAGTTTCTAGAGTCTAGTGGGGTCTGGCTCTCTGCTTTACATCCATGCTGATCGGCTCCTTGATGAGGACCTGCCTCTCAGGGTTGAGACTGGACCAATTCAGGGCCACAGTAGCATTTTCACAGTCCTCGACAGCTGCTGAGGGTCACGCTGGGTCTGCAAGGCCCACACACAGACCAGCCTCAGTCTGCTTTCAGGGTAAGGAACTTGGGGCCTGGTCTCCTCTGACCAAACCAGGACTCTCCCCTGTGGGGAAGCAGAAGGAGGTTTTTCTGCTTTGTCTTCCTTGTACATTTTGCATGCTGGTGAATTCGGGCTTTGTTTATTTGTTTTAAGAATTCGTATTTCCAAATAAGAAATAAATTCACATAATTGAAAAATTGAAGGATGCAGATAAGTAAACAGTGAAAGGCTCTACTGTATCCCAGTTTCTTTCCTGGAGGTCACAGTCTTAGAATGTGAGTGCACTTAGAATTAGGTATGCTAGGCCTAAATGAGCCTTTTCCATTTTTCCCTTTATACGGACTGCTTCCTGTGCTTGAGTCTGTTCTGCATCACGTGCTTTCACTTACCATGTTACCTCAATACTCAGTCTCATCTTTTTAACTCCTGGAGTTTTTACTCCACTGTGCGCCTGAGCTGGAATTAGTTCAGCCCTCCTAACTGACGAGCGCATGGAGGTTTTCTGAACTCTGGCTCTTTTGTTAAGTAGCTCGTTCATGCATATGATAAGCACTGGACTGCGAACCACAAGGTTGGCGGTTTGAGCCCACCGGCCACTCCTCGGGAGAAAGATAAGGCTTTATGCTCCTGTGAAGATTTAAAGTCCTAGAAACCCTAGACGGGGTCACTATGTGTCAGAACCAACTCAATGGTACATAACAACATCAACCACCTCGCTTTATCCAAGTATGGGTCTGCCTATAGGATACAGTCCTTAAAGTAGATTTGCTGGGTCAAGTGTATTTGCTCTCATATTTTGATATATGTTGCCCAAATCCACTCCATGAAGTTAGTACCCATTTTTGTTGCCACCATCTGGTGTGGCGCTGGACCGCACAGTCGGTTTGAATGGTAGCATCGGCAGTTCAAGCTCACCAGCCACTCCTCAGAAACCCTATACAGGGTCGCTGTGAGTTAAAACAGACTTGACAGCATTTCACAACAACAACATCAATTGTGAGAGTGCCTGCTTTCTCATACCCTTGCCAATGCCATGCGACCTCAACAAAAACAAAACTGGTGTGGACATTTTTAAAGATATGCAAAAATAGAATCGCACACCATTCCCCATATACCCACACCCAGCTTTAACAATGACGGACTCTTAGTCAGTCTTACTGAATCTTCACACCTTACATGCCCTTCAACCAGTCCCCACCTGTAGATTGTTTTAAAGTAAATTCAAGACGTGCTATCATTGCAAATGGTAGCTAACTCTCTGGTGTTTGCCAATATAACTGAAAAAATGGTTCTTCTGGGTGATTTCTAGTTACATTTTATTTGGAATGAAGTTGAAGAGGGCTCTTTTTAGGTCCATTTCTGTGAACTTTGTCTTAGTATTCATTCCACATGCTCTCCCAGTGACTCTGAGGTGGAACTCTGGCTGAAACCCAGCTCCACCCCCACGCCCACGCCCACCCCCACCCTAGGCTTTTGGAGAGGAGCGTGAGGGTGGGAGAGGAATCCCGCACAGGAAGTGGAGAGCAAATCAGAGTTGGACATGTGCGTGAGAAGAAGAGGGTGGAAGGTGGAGGTGGAAGCTTGTTAATGGGAGGTAACAGGACAGTGCTTCTCTCCCACAGGTCTTGTTCCTCCCAAAGAGTATAGAAAAGGCAGAACAGACCTTCGTGATCGTGTGTGACAACTGCCAGATAAAGGAGCTGGTGACTGTAGGTGGGCTTGCACACACACACACACACACACACACACACACACACACACACACTTCCAGAGACCAGGTCCCTAGGTCCGAGTGCATGTCCCAGCTTTCCGCCTCCCCTCCCTGCTCCCAGAGCTACTGCCCAGCTGCACTCTCTGTCCGGAGCACGTTGAGGGATGCTGAAGCCCCCAGGCCGAGGGGTCTATTCTGGTCAAAGCTCAGAGTCCTTCATAGCAGTGTGGGCTCCAGAACATTCCCAAGGAACCTGCTGCTGAGAAACAGATGGATCTTTCAGTGCTCCACTCTGAAACCCCTTGAGCTCTTAAAGGGAATTTCCAATGACTTCTAGATAAACCAGGAGTCCTGGTGATGCTGTGGGTTAAACTGCAAGGTCAACAGTTCAAACCCACCCGCAACTCCACAGGAGAAAGAGGAGGCTCTCTGCTCCTATAAAGATTTACAGTCACAGAAACTCTGAGGAGCAATTGTATTCTTTCCTAATATGGTTGCTGTGAGTCAGAGTCAATCATTGGCAGTGGGTTGTATACATACACAATCAGAGGCACCTCTAGCTTTCTGTAGGGTTAGAAAGAGCATCCTGCTGAATTTCCCTCAGGTGTTCAGGTTCCTTTTTTCCTTTCTTCCTTCCATTCATTCATCCATCCACCCACGTATTTGTTTCATTAAACGAACATTGAGTGCTTACTATATGCTACATTCTGGAAATCGCCTCATTTGGGTCCATAAAGCTGTGAGGAGATGGATCTGTGTGAGGTTATGCTAATGAACTGCCCCGTCCCCTCTTCTATGCACTTCCAGGGATCATGGTGGGAGATGTTTCTGGGGAAGTCATTGTGGGCTCCCATGCAGGCTGAAGCCAGCTTCATGTGGATGGTGGCACTGGGCAGTCTTGGGCCACCAAGTCCTGATTTCAGCCCCGGACTCTCGTCCTGAATATCTTTTCCCTGCTTGTGTCAGGAATCGGACAACTGGTTGCTTTGGAGCTGATCTATGTTTCTGGTGAAAAAAGTCAACCCGAGCCTGGCGAGCTCACCGACTTAACCGCCCAGTACTTCATCCGCTTTGAGCCTGAAAACCTTCAGTCTACCGCTAAGAAACAGCTGATCATTAGAAATACTACGTGAGTGATCCCTGTACAACATCCCCGTCCCTGAGTTCCCAGTGAGAAAGGGAGATTCTTTCCAAGGGCCAGGGAGAAGTCTAGACACAGAATGGCAGATCCCAGATTTTCACTGTCCAGCGTAGTAACCAGTAGCCATACGTGGAGTCCTGGTGTGGCACTGCAGGATAATGCCCTGGACTGTAAGGACTGTTTGAACTGCAATGGCGGCAGTTCAAACCCACTAGGTGCTCCTTGGAAACCCTGTATAGGATCACTATGAAATCAGAACCAACCTGATGGCACTAAACACCAACAAAGCCATATGTGGCTATTTAAATTTAAATCAATTAAAATGAAAAACAATGAGAAATTCAGTTCTTCAGTGGCACTAGCCACATTTTGAGTGCTCTATAACCTCATGTGGTGCCTGGCTACTATTGGACAACACAAGTGTGTCCATTTCCATCATTACAGGAAGTTAAGTTAGACAGTGCTGGTCCACATCATCCTGGGTCACCTGTAGCCAGGAACAGTTCTTCAGAGGCTGTCCTGCCCATCCAAGTCCTGTGGGTTCCATTCACACTGCGATTATTTACTGACCATCCTCTGAGCACCATCATTATACCAGGACGTACCTCAGGGAACCTCTGAACCAGCGCTGGCCTGATGAACGTAGGTTTCTCTCAGCTGGCATGGTCATAATCAGTAGTTACCTGACTCTCCTGGCAGCTGCCCATCAGCGACATGCCCAAAATCCCACTCATTCTCATGACCAAGAAGTTGTCACTGCTCCTATTGGCACTCAGGGAACATTTGTCCTTCTAGGCAGGGCTTCCCTGGAAGGCAGTAGCTGGAGAGGTGGAAGGCAGGGGTGAGGTTGATGTGGCAAACCTTTGAAATTTTCTTGTGATAGGAGACAATACAGAATCTTTTCCTAATAACTGGAGAGCTGCCTAACTCCCCCCCACCCCCCAGTTTAATGGTCGGCTCACGATGGGACACACCACCCCCGTCCCCTCAGCCCAGTTTACTCTCTCCTCTCAGTCACTAAGGACTCTTGACATGGTCTCCAGTTGGACTCCCTGACCCACCTGCTGTCCCTTACTCATATTCACCAGGATCTTCCATGGGAAGGACACGAAGGCTGCTCTAGCCACTTCCTGTTTCTGGGTCCTTTCCTGTTCTTTGAGAGCAGGACCAGGTCAGGGGTGGTTTGGGGAGGACCTGGCTTTGGTCAAATTGGGACATGGCCTTGAACTTCCAGGGTTCTCCCCACAGGCACGTGGAACTTACCTTCTACTGGCAGATCATGAAGCCCAACCTGCAGCCCCTAATACTGGGAGAAGCCTACAGCATGGACAGTATCAAGTACCACCCTGACACGGAGACAGCCTTCTCCATCATGCCTGCAAAGGGGATTCTCAACCCACACACGGACCATGAGTTCTTCCTGAGCTTTTCTCCTCATGAGGTTAAAATTGGGGCCATCTTGGTAGCCATGCAGGATTAGGTCATGATGTTTTGAACCTCCATCCATGTTTTTAATGAAGTTAAAGCCACAGCTGTGCCTGACTGCGCCTGGCACTTGGCTAAGAGGGTGGCTGGAGGCCGAGCCCGATGTGTAGGAAGAATCGGCTAAATTTGCCTGGTCTCGGCCACTGATACACCCTGTCTGCAGCAGGACCTCGTTCCTGCACTCTAGTGCTTTCTGCTTTTTACTTATAACGGAGACATTAGCAGTCCCTGGAGAGAAAGGTGCAGGTTTATCTAGGGAAAGGTTAACACAGCTCCCCATCCACAGTGGAAGGCAAGAAGGAAATGAGAGCTGGGTGTGAAAGATATTTGGGGGCCCCTGTTAGTGGATGTGGGACTACGAGCAGATCTGCCTCTCAAACCCATTAGCAGCTACATCAGTGTTCTGGGATGGTGTGGTGTTCCAGACATAGTGAGGGCCCTCCCAGGGGATCAAGAGGGCCTTCCCTTCCTATTTCTCAGATCTGACTGAGGTAGGTACATCAATGGGGAGACTGAGGAAAGCTCCCCAGCCTCGGGTCCTGGCAGTTACCCCTCTCCATATAGTGGGGGGAAAGGTAGGCAGAGAAGCCGCACTGTTTTCCTGAAGACCTGTGTGATAACTAGGCCAAGCAGGGGAGAAAGTCTTGCCCTGGATCCAGCCATCCCAGGACAGCCTGGCTGAAATACAAGCATGTCTCCAGCAGGCTGTGTTTGTCTTGCAGCGGCGGGGTTTTCACAGTGTTCTCCAGATGGTGCTAGAGCAAGTCCCGGAGCCCACATGGTGAGCAGACACTGGACTCCAGGAAGAGAGGGGAGGGCAGCTGGGCCTGCCTCCCTAGGGGGAGACATTTGGCGAAGGCACCTGGGAGGGATGAATAAGCAAGCTGACCCTGGAGCCTTTGGTGAGTGGTTGCACTTTTGCCTTGCCCTGACACTGTTATCCCTGAGTGGACTTGGCATGCAGGGCACAGAGCTCTCAGGACTCACACCCAGGAGCCTCGGAGCTGAGCTCTGGGCTCATTGCTACTCCTGGAAAGCCAGGCTGGTGACCCCAAGGTGGTAGTGACTGCTGAAGGATGGTTTTGCCATCTCCACCTCCCTAAGTAAACCATCAGATTGGGTCTACGTCAGCCTTGCATGGGGATCCCAGACTGGAGCGCTGTAGTGGCATTTCTGGAGGAAGTGGGATGGGGGTGGCTGTAGTCCTGGGCCATAGGCTAAACCGATGCCACAGCCACCATGTGATATCACCCCTTTAGGGCATCAGCCAGTGCTTCTGATGTTAGGGACCAGTGAGTTAGGATAACATTTTCTTTTCATAAGAAGACCAAATATTTAACACAGCAGCAAGGACTGTGTAGGGACACGTTCCCGGGCTGTGACAGGTGCTAACTAACTGTGGGTTGTGCTCAGTTCAGATACTCAGAACCTGGAGGATACTTCATACACTTTGGGTAATGTGATTGTCCTCGAAGTTGAGGTGAAAGGCTCAGTAGAACCTTTCAAGGTTCTCTTAGAGCCGTATGCCCTCATCATCCCTGGAGAGAACTACATTGGCGTAAATGTGAAGAAAGGTTTTAAGGTAGGTCATTGTCTCTCTCCAGTATGGGCTGGTCCGTGTGGTGCTGAACTTGGATACAGGCATAGGAAGGAAATAGCTGGAGAGGCAGATGGCAGCAGGAACGTTGAGGTTGCTCCTAGGGCCCCTGAACCCTACTTGGTTTTCATAGACCCCTGAGCCAGGCTTATCTGTCTGTCTTTGTCAGCTTCCCAGCATCCTCTGAGAGTTAGGGTTGTGGAGCCCATTCCGGTGCCTAGGGGTCGTTGTCAGGGGATAGTTTTCAGAGTTCTGCCCACCCTGTAGCATGAGGGTGCTATTGAGATGGGAAGTCCATAGCTGCCAGCAGTCAAAACAAAGTGGGAGGGGGTCAAATGGCTCCTTGGTGAGACTGTACCCCAACAGTCCTTGAGCAGGTACAGATTTGACATGGAAGGGCTGTGCCTAGGCAATCCTGGTTGTATTATGTCTTTCAGATGTGGAATCACAGCAAGTCCCCCATCAAGTACATGTGGGAGAAGATTAGCGACTGCCACATCATTGAAGTGGAACCCTGTACAGGGGCTATAGGTGCCAGTGCCTGTGGGGAGGGTTGGTTGTGGCCTGCCTAGGTGTCTAGCTAAGGGGGAGGCTTCAGAGTTAAAGGGACCTATATTGACCTGTGGTTTCCTGTGGCCAACTCTAGCTTAGGTATGATGTGGTTGTTGTTGTAGTTGCAGCAAGTCGGTTCCTGCGCACAGCAATCCTGTATAGGGTTTCCAAGGAACGACTAGTGAGTTTGAATTGCCAACTCTGTGGTTCAAACCAACTTTGCGGTCCAGTAATGTATCCCACAGAGCCACATGGGACGAGTAATAGACAAAAAGGCAGTGGAGTCTAAACCTAACATCCCAGAAGGACACTGCCCTTGATATTTTTCTCCACCTCTCACTCTCCCATCGCTCCCAGAACCCAACGAGGTCGGGGATTTTGAGTTGAACTTTACTGGAGGTGTTCCTGGTACAACAAGCCAGGACCTGGTGTGTAAAATAAGAGACTCGCCCTCACCAGTGGTGTTGCACATCGAGGCGGCCTTTAAGGTGCTGGAGGCTTTAGTGGAGTTGAGGGGCTGGGTTCACCCAGAAAGTGGGCATAGAGCCTGTTTCCAAGTGACTGAGTGGCAGTCCCCTCTGCGCATCTCAGGGGCCTGTGCTCGTCATCAACGTCTCAGCCCTTCAGTTTGGTTTGCTTCGCCTGGGGCAGAAAGTCACCTACCCCATCCAGATCCAGAATGTCAGCCAGCTCCCAGCCATGTGGCACATGAAGGAGAGCACAGTCTACCTTGAAGAAAGGCATGAAAGTGTAAGTCGGACCCCACTGCTCCCACGTGCACCCACATACAGACTCCCCACGCCAAGGAGTTGTGGTGGCACTGTGAAAACACGTACTGCACATTCAGAGTTTTGAGTCTGACAAAGGGAAAACCCTACCTGCTGATTTTTGCTTGGCAGTGTCTCCAATCCTACTCAGCACTGGGTCATTTGGAGTCCTTTCTTTAGCCCCTTGCTTGTTTTCCTGTCCTTTTGTCTACCATTTGATGCATGAAGAAGACGTGCGTTTGTCTCTCTCTGTCAGAGCAGAGTGTTGGTGAGAAAGTGGGCAGCTGCGTTGGTTAGGAAACTTCCAAGGCTGTTTTGGCTAGGGGACTGTGTTCCCTGTCTCCTGAGAAGGGCGCATGTCTGCCAGGCTCACCCCAGAGTCCTAATCCTTTCGGGTATTGTGCCTACAGTTTGAGGATCTGCCTCCAGGTGGTACCTGGACAAGGGCTTGTGGACCAAATCAAAAAGCTCAGAAAAGTCAAGATTTATTTCCTTTCAGATCGCTTAAGGCACGTCTTTTCCTTCTCCTCTTGCTCTTAACTCTGCTTCTGTGCACGTGGGAAGTACGTATTTACTATCATGTGGTATGGCATCACGTTTAAATCCAGTGTAATCCGAAACACACATAGCAACCAGCGGATCTCTAGCTGCCAACAGTTAGATCAAATTGCTGATTTGCCAACCCCACTCTGCCCAATTCTTGATGGCTGGAGCTCGCTGGGAGGTGCCATAAGGTTGTTGCTGCACAGGTGAGAACCCTTGCCAGGTGTGGCTTAGAGGAAGCACCCTCTCTGACTGCACCAAGGACCCCTGTCCTGCCTGCTCCCTTGCACACTTTCCCTTCCTCCTTTGGGACCACTGCAGCCACACATGCGTCTGATTTGGCCATGTGGACACATGATTTAGCTGGACACTCTGGATCTCAGAAGTTAAGACCATTTGTACCAAATCACTAACACTAGTTCCAGGTACCCTGTGTAACAGCTAGTCCCCTCTCCACAAAGGGCTCGTTGTTTTCCCAGCCTGGATCCTAGAGCCACAGAAGGCTGGGGCTGGGACATCCTCAGGATCTTTAGTGTTCACGTTGCTTTTGTTCAGGAATTCTTTTGTCAGATGAAACCAATGCAGAAGCCTAGTATATAGACCCAAGTATACCCACCAAGGAGTCCTAGTGTGGGGTTGTTGGTTAATGTGCTAGACTACAAAGTCAGTTTGAACCACAAGGCCAAAAGTTCAAGCTCACCAGCTACTCCTCGGGAACCCTGTACAGGGTTGCTATGGTTCAGAACTGACTTAGCAGCACTTAACAACACATACCCACCAGGAGACTGTCTAACTAAGCCCCCTCATCTTACCTCTCCCCACACCCATCCCTTGTCTGAGGCACTCCTGAGGAATACTTGGGATTTCCCAGAGCACTGATGGACACTCCGGGACCTCAGCCCATGTCCTCATCTGACAGAGGAGACTGGGGAGGCACCCAGAGGGACACAGGTGTGTCCAGAATCATACAACTGGTGGTGGAATCAGAATCAGTCCTGGCTTTTCTAATTCCCTGTCGGTGTTTGTTTCCCATTGTGAAGATTTGTTACATTTTACCATTGTAATAACTATATTTCAAGATATGGCACATTTGAGGCTGGTAGAAATTCTGTCTCTGTACTCCATTGTTTTGAGCCCTCAGAAGATAATGCTGGGATTTGGGGTTTCTTAGGTGCTCTAGGTCAGGAGATCCAGAGCTACTGAGACCCAACTCAAGATCCCAGCCACATCCCCAAGGCTCCAAGGGGAAAAGCACACATGATCACTAAAGACAAAAGAAAGCAGAAGCAACTCTGACCTTACAGCCAAGCTAGGCCCCCAAACTCCAGTGCCAGGGCTCCCGTGAGCCAGGCTAGGACACGCAGAGCCCTCTTTCCTGTGAGAATTAGACTGAGCAGCCTCTCATGAACACCAGCCCATCTCTCGTACCAGTGCCAGGGAGGTGAATCCTGAAAAGCAAGAGACCATAGGGCCCAGGGTTACCAGGGTAAGGGATGGAGAGGAGAGAGTCCAGTCAAGCCCACATGCCAGACACATACATGGGTAAAGGGTGGAGAGGCCTATTCTGCCAGGTGTAACCCTTGAACTCACTGGGTCCCATGGAAGGGAGAGATCAAAGAGAGATACCTTCCCTCCTGGGTGTGGGCTTCGGTGTCCAGTGATGTTCCACCTGGGGCACAGAGGCCACTTGGTCAGATGAACGCCCCTTCTCTCAGGGACACAAAGAATGGAGTATAGAGGACTCTTCCCAGGTGCCTGCACTCTTTTCCCCTTCCTCCTTCCCTTTGTGTATGAATCAGGGGTGCAGGCTAGACCTGCCTGGGGTAAATGAGTCCAAGCCTGCAATCGGGGATGGGGTAGGATGGCCAAAGTTAAGGAAGAGACCAGTGGGTTCAAAGGAGAGCTGAAGACACCTGGGTCCCCACACATGCCTGCTCAGTGGTGCTGGGCAGACCTCTTGGAAGACCACTGCAATCCTCCCCAGCATGGCACACAAGCTCACCCTCCTGTGCCCACCTGAGCCTCCACCGGCCAGCCCAACACTCTCTTCAGCAACCTCCAACTTCTTTATGCATAGACCCCTCCAGCTGCCTATTGCTTTAGCGTGGAGATTCAGGGTTTCTCCTCTTAATTCCTGAAACTCTCACTCAGCTGGAATTCCCCACCTGCTTGCGTCTTTCTGGATCCTACAAGACACTTTGAGTAACTGGGAGCATTTTGAGGGTGACCATGTACCAGCACCAGCCCTTCATTCCTCTGCAATTCCACATGTCGCCCTTCTCATCCTTCTGTTTTGACCTCTCACTCAGGAGTCTGTCTTCCACATTGAACCCTCAAGTGGCCAGCTTCACCCACTAGGAGACTGCAAAGTGAATGTCACCTTCGAGGCCTTGCTCTGCCAGAGTCTGCAGACGGTCCTGGAGCTGGAGGTGGAAAACGGAACCTGGAGGTAAGCACGTCAGGGGAAGAGCAACAACCTTATGCATATTCATGGTGTGTTATTTATAATGATAGATTTATCTTTAAACAAGGTTAAGTTTAAAGGTGCTCTTGTTAAGTGCCGTCAAGTCAGTTCCCACTCCTAGTGAGTCCATGCACCACAGAATGAAACCTTGTCGGGTCCTATACCACCCTCACAGTCATTGCTATTAAAGCCCATTGTTGCAGCTTCTGTGTCAGCCCAGCTTTTTTGAGGGCTTTCCTCCCTTTTTCACTGACCCTCTACCACGCATAACAGCCTTCACTAGGGATTGGTATTGTTGTTAAGTGGTGGGTGAGTTGGTTCTGGCTCCTAGTGACCACATTATAGGGTTTCTAAGGAGTGGCTGATGAATCTGAACCACTGACCTAGCAGTTAGCAATCGAGTGCTTATCCTACAGCGCCACACCAGGTCTCCAGAATTGACATACATGCATGTTTATTCTATAAAATGTGAAAATTAAGATGACCCATAACCCATTACTCAGAAATAATGGGGTAGAAGGTTACATGTTGGGCTGCTAACCACAAGGTCAGCAGTTAGAATTCACTAGCTGTTCCTAGGGGGAAAGGTGAGGCTTTCTGCTCTCTTAAAGATTTACAGCCTCAGAAACCCTACACAGGGTTGCAGTGAGTTGAACCAGCTTGACTATGGTGCACAATTGTGAGGTCTTTCCTTCAAGTGTATGTGTGCGTACTCATTATGATCATTTTATAATGTGGGAATGGTATAACTAGATAACCTAATGTGTTTTACCATGTTACATTTTCCAGCACCATTACTTTAATTGTTTTATGTTGTTGAGTGTTACCAGAGGGCGATTCCAGCTCATAGTCACCCATCCAACAGAGTCGAATTGCTCCACAGAATTTCTAGGTTGTAATATGTGGGGAACCAGATCACCAGCTTTTTCTCCAACAGAGCCGCTGGGTAATTTTAACAACTATTGTGTAGGTTAGCAAAGGAGTGCTTAACCGTAGTGCCACCAGGCCTCCTCCTTGCTGTTTTTAACTGCATCTGGGTGATTTCAACCCTAGTGACCTGGTATAGGATTTCTGAGGCTGTAAATCTTTGCAGGAACAGGAAACATCTTTCTCTCGTGGAGCAAGCTTATGGTGGGTTTAAACCACCAACCTTTTGTTCGCACACCAGTGTTTATTGTAAATAGTCACTGTGCTCCCTGGGACCCTGGTCATTGAATAATATTCTATATTTTAATACCAAAATTTACTTAACATGTGCCCACATTATATGCTATGAGAGCTGAAACTTGACAAGGCAAATACGTTTTTCCGGGTCTCACTAGTTTTCTGCCTTTGACAGGCTGCAGTGTAACACTTTCCCGTTGCTTTTCTCTTAGTGGAAAGTGTTTTTTTCTTTGTCAGTTTTTGCCTTACACAGGTCCCGGTTTTCACAGGTTTCACTGTATGCATATGGAGGGGCTTCAAAAAGCTCGTGGAAAAATTCCATTATCTTTTTTTTTTGTCTGTTTAAATTTATTTGGATGAAAGGTGACCTCCAAGTTAAAAAGGTATCCTAGGTGATAGTCTTAGGTATTCCTTTAGTCTCTATTGGTCCAGTAAGTCTGATCTTTTTTAGGAGTTTGGTTTTTTGCTTTACATTTTTCTCTCATTCTGTCTGGCACCTTTGGTAATGTGTGTCCTTGGTCAGAATGGTTGATAGTGGTAGCTAGGGACCATCTACTTTTTCTGGTCTCAGGTTAGATTGGGCCGTGGTTCCTGAGCTCTTAGTCCTGTGGACTTGTTTCTTCTTTGGCTCTTTGCTCTCACTTCTTTTTTTTATTCCAGATGAGTAGAGACTGAGTAGGCTTTGAAGACGTAGATGCTACTCACCAAACTAGGATTGTAGAACATTAATATTATTATTATTGGCATTTTTGTTATTGTTGAGAACATACGCAGCAAAACGTACAGCAGTTCAGCCATTTCTACATGAACAATTCAAGGACACTGACTACATTCTTAACGATGTAAAACCATCTCCCTCTCCTTTTCTAAGTTGCCCCTCCCTGATTCACAGGTACTCTCTGCCCTCTGAGTTCCCAGACTAGTCTTTCCGGTTGATATTATTACTTTGATCCCATTTAAAATCATTCTTTTTTTTTTTTTCTTAAATGTTTTATTGTGAATTATGTGATAGTTTACATGGGAGAACATTAATTTTACATTCATTCTATCGTATATCGTCTCATTGCCATGGTTGCAATCCCCTCCATGCAATCCTTCCCCCGTACCCCCCAGGTCTTCAGCACACAGTAGCTCTCCCTCTCTGGATCTAAAGTATCCAGCTGCTCCATCGCTCCACGTCATCATCTCTGGCTCCATTTCAGGCATCACTGCTTCTCTGGGTAGGAACCCACTCTCTGCTCTTCTCCCTTGATGGTCCTAGGGACC